TCTGAAATGCTTCTTTCCAGTCAATATCTGTGAGACGGGGTGTGTGTTAGATTTACCTCCATGTGGTGCACCCTGGGCAACGTATACTCATATGGCAAAAATGTCTATTAACTGGCAGTTGATTTCTCACTTCAAACTACCATCACCTCACTGTATGTCCTATTCGACTACTTCCATGTACTCACCTCACCTTTTTTCTACCTTTGTGTCTGTCTCTTTTACATCTTTGAAACACTCTTCTGTTCCCCCCTCTCGACTTTTTTTTCAATTTGAAGTACCTCCTTCTCTGTGAAGCCTGAAGTCAAATAAAGGGCTAATGATAGCCATCAAGACGCCTGCCATTTGGTATAAATATAAATATATCTGTGAGCCAAAGAAGTCTTACTAAAGCCTTCATGAAGTATATTGATCACATGGATTTAGTAATATTTTCACTCCAGAGATATGCCTTTGTGAGCCTTCAAACAAATTACAACTATTTTGTCAAAAGCTTGTATAAGAAGATACAATTAGATAAAATCTTGTAGAGCGAAAGGGATTTCAAATTTTCGGCCAATTTTCTGTACCAGTTAGTTTGAAAATTCTCAAATGTCTACATTAGTGAAGGACCCATAGACAAATAGGCAAAGTTGTCTACTTCAATTTGGAAGATATCGGCATCTTTACAATCAAAATTGTCAAATTACTTTTCTTTCGTAGTTCAATTCACATCATATTGAAGACCTCATAACAAACTATTTAATTCTAATCTTTGATGAAAGAACTATTTAGTATCTAAATTAAATAGAAGATAGTAAGAAATACTCATAAAAAGATCTAGGAATGAAAGGGATAAAATCCTATGCCTGAAATTCTTTCAAATCTGTTTGAATCTGCTCCGATTATCCCAACTTAAAATTGGTTGCATGTTGAGCTAACGAAGCTCAAAGCTGCAGTGTGTCCTATCTCATAGCTGGCAATTCATCTTGGTGGCCTCTAAGTTGTCCATAATTTTTATCAATAAGGGGTGTACTCCGCTCCTGACAGTTTGACAGTTTGTCAGCGCAAATAGATATTGAACTTTCAAAATTACAAATAAGGGAATGCCCATTTTTCCCAAATAGTTGCTAGGCGCCAATTAACTAGACTTTCGTAGAATCTTAAATGGTCTGGTAAAGTGCAGCCGGCTGCGTTAAGTGTCACACATGTAATACAAACTGGACTGGTTAAAAACAGCGGAAGTGAGCTAATTGCTTAATAAAAGTGTACAATAATTATCCCTTACTATTCAAACTAGCTACCCAAAACAGGTGGCGCTGTGGGCTGTATGCTTGCATCAGAAGATGGGAAAAGTTGATTTAGACTTACTAAAAAAGGGCAAATTGCTTATTTTTCGTCCAGTCGACTGATGAATTTTATTCATAGAAGTAAGAACTATGATTATTCTAGCAATTTTATATACAAAAAACTAATTATGGGGCACTCTATAGCCCTCAGTAAAATGACAGCACTTTAATGGTAGCACAAATCATGAGAACTAAATTGAAATTATATAGTGGTCGATTTCGATCGGCAATCAAACCTTCATTAATTGCAAAAGATTTGAGATTGGAAAATACTCAACTCCTACCTCCATACGAAGAAAGCTAAAACTTTGACTATTCAACCCTCCACCTACCGCGGAATCATGGGAGAGAAATGCTTTTGTGAAAATTCATTCCCACCACAACAATCGCTTAAAAGGGGTGAATTTTTCAGTTGAGTTGATTAGTGTCTTGGACAAAGGACAAACACAGAGATCACACATGTGTGGTTCAATAGCGAAAAAGTGAAAGACACCTTTTGTTCTTCATTATAACCTTCTGGTTAATTGAATAAATAATAAATAGATAGAAGATGAGCTAAGCGATAGGTTTAAGAAGAAAATTTACTCTCCAAAGTTGGTACAAATGATTATTATAAATCATGTAATAGCGCAGACGTTTTTAATAATTTTCTTTACAATAACCACCAATAAGCACTATTTTAAATAAAATGCGGTGCCATTGCTTAAATTTGATAAAAAATCCTCTTTTGTTTTTGCCAAACCCTCCACAAATGTTATTGACGATGCTCTGAGAGGTATGATTTAAAAATGTTGAATATTGTTTAGTTTTTATCTATTATTGAAGCTATTTGCAAAAGGGCAAAACTAAATGAGATTTAAAACTAAAATAGAAACTGAGTACTTTTTTAATTTGGTTGGAATACAGGTTATTTGCTAACAAGGTTCCCACAAACTCTCTCGGAATCGGATGCTTTAGTTGCCGCAATGTAACATTTGAATTCGTCTTATTAAGAGAGCACTTAGTCATTTGTGAATGACTTTATGAGAAAGACAACCTAAAATGTGAATCATTCTTCAAACTGATTTTAACTTTATGGGATGGTATTCGAGAGGTGAGAAGTAAAGCACCAGCCAGTGCGGACTACCAACTCATGTTAAAAAAGCCATGAAGGGAGAGCAGTTGATTAAATTAAATGTTCACAGACTTAAGCCTTTCAGGAGTAATTAGCAACGTGCCAACTTAGTAACTATAGGAATAAGAGAAGCAACACAAGTTGACGTTTGAGCTTTGCAATTCAAACGCCTTTTATTTTCCTGTAAGGACGAGTATGAATAGCTTTGGATTTCGAAAGCTCTCACCAATTGACCCAAATTGATATATACTTTCTGAATGAAAAAGGTTAATAGAGTATTCACTCAAGGAGGCTATTGCACCCTCACGCATTGGTTTGATCTGTTTTGATTTAACGAATGTATATACGTATATAAACATGTGAGCATCTTGTGACGAGGTTTAAATACTTAAAATGTGCTTCTCCGCCGCCCATATATTTTTTAAAAATCAAGATCATACTCCGTCCTGTCCAAATCACATCATTGATATGATATCTATATCGATTGAGGCTTTTGTACTTTATTTACGACGATGTCTCTAGATAGAACTAAAATAATGACTATGTAAAATGTGAGCTGGAAATTGAAATCCCCATAAGGAAGTGTGCTTGAAAATACATTTACTGGTCAGTTTAGGGTATTATCGAGAGACTAAGTACATGATTTACTAACTTCAAGCAAAAATAACCAATAAATGATATTTGCTCTACATTAGCTTTTACGAAATTGGGTTAAAGACCATAACCCAATATTCGTCATCGTTTCAGAGCTTGAATTTTGTCGTTTTTGAAGGACCGGAATTACTAATACTTGTTTTAAATCATTGGAAAATCTGATCATCACCACTTGTTAGTTTTTTTTATGCTTATTGCATGAAAACGATAAACAATTTTAAAATATATTAATATTAATGAAGATTCTTGAAGCAAACCAACATTCGATACAAATTATTGATTGTCCTTAGACTTTGTTGCAACTGAAAGTTACCTTTAAAGTCCTCATTTCACTTTGTCTGCACTCTTAAACGTAATCATTTCATTTTCCTTAGATACTCCATTAGAATTTCTCTTCAAATTTTATTCACTCGAATGTTCTTAAAACATGCTTACAATAAAATTTAACAAATGTCCATTTTTCAAAGCTTTGAATTTGAGCTGATTAATCTTTAACGCAATATTGAGATTTATACTCAAATTTTCCTTGAAACAGAAGAAAATGCGCAGCCCAATTTGAGAATCTGCTGTAATGTATAACAGATTAGAATATTTATAGAGGTTTTCTCTAAGGGTAATCGTTCAGCAAATAAATCTAATAAATATAATTAAAGAGAATTTTCCAGATGTTAAAAGAACAGCCGGATATCAAAGAGTCGTACCTGATTGTTTTTTAAATCTATCGTTCCTCTATTGAATTCCAGTGCATACCTGCCCACAGTGTCCAATGCTTAATGGCCATTTGTTTAAATGCAATGGAGGGACTTGCTTCTTAAAGACATTACTTCTAGCGACGGTTGAGATATGAGAATGATTTAACGCATTATTAAATAATTTATATGGCCTTTAAATAGGTTAACTTCATGAGAAAATTTAATTATTTGGTTAGCCAACACATTAAAATTAGGTATAGCCAAAGTTAAATGGATGGAAACGGGTTTAAAAACGAGTAACAGTAATAGCTTTGCAATCAACATCAAATAATGGATAGCATTAGGACGCTGATTGGGAAAATAAAAATATACTCAAGAGATTTGGTTAGTTAATAGTTAGTTATCTTGTGTTAGAGGCTGGATAATTTAGTCAAATAAGTGCTATATTTTATTTCATATCCTTTATCCATACTTCCTTGAAGTAATGTCATGCCTTACGTCTTACCTGATTACTAGCATCTGCGGCCAACGCATTGGCGGAGCTCAAATGACTTGGAAATAGATCGCTAGTAGTACCGATTGTTTGAATCGCGGCGGAGATTTCAGGAGAGAGGGAGTCAACGTAATCAGGTAGAAAGTGCCGACTTTCAATCCATTGCACAATAAAGGCGGCAACATCTGGAGCAGCGGAAATTGCATTCATGGAGTGAATCAGTGGCTTGGAAAATGTGAGAATTATCTCCCCAGCGCGCGTTTGTTTCAGCACTCTTGGCTCGCCTGGGGTTGGTGGCAATTCTATCAAGAAACAGGAAGTAGATCAAATAAGTAGAGTTCTACTTGATTTCAGATTGGAGATAACTAAGTTTATCTCCACTTTTAAATGCAAAGAATGGTTCAAGCAAGCCAATGAATCTAGAAATGAGAATTCTAAATGTCTGTAGAACTTTGAAAATGCGATTTTCCTGCATTGAGTTCATATTCTCACAAATACACTCCTTGCAGCATAATCGGGTTTTATTAAGTTTTGATGGTTGATTTACATTTACTCCGTTGTACATTTATCATAAGTATTGGAGTTATTTGCACATTAGACCTCACTGGCTGGTAAATTGTAAGCATTATAGGGTAAAATTTCCATTTTCTAATAATAAAGCTGAAAATTAATATAATATTTGGTATCCCAACCAACCATCTTAGTTCAAAAGTGCCAAATCAAGTAGATTTGCACTTGGTGAATGTGCAAGACCATAATAGAGGATATGTTTGTAAAATAACAAAGTTTTAGAATAGTTTACTTTTGAATGGATCTTGAATTAAACCGTTTCAAGTGGACGAAATTCAAATTTCGCCAATATCTCTGAAGTGTTTTCTATTACCCACTTGGGAACTAAATGGTGGTTTCTAGTAATTTAAAACACTTTGCAATGCGTCTGCATTAAATCTTATTGGTCTAAGAATGAAGGCGTTTTTTAACCAATTTGCCGATTTAATCTCTATGACTTTCAACTGAGCCCTCGAGCATTGAAGTTGAAAAAAATTCACAAAGTTTGCATGTAAACAACTAATTCAATGAAAGAAATAATAGCACGCCCAGTGTGTTAGCTTTAATCTCTGCTTGACCTACTTGCCACTCTGGATCGCAATAAAATGACTATCTTATTTGGAGGAGTGCGCGATAGAGGTACCTCCACGTAGTGCATCCTGGACAACGCATGCTCATACAGCAAAAAGTCTATAAACCGACAATTGATTTCTGACTTCAGACTACTATGACCCGACTGTTAGCCCAATTCCACCACTTCACGACATTCACCTTACCCAACTCTCTACCTTTGCATTTGTCTATTCTACATCTGTGAATCACTCTTTTCTCGACATTTTGTGACTTTGGTGTTTCTCTCTTCTGTGAAGTCCAAAGTCAACCAATGGTCTAATGATATCTATCATAAAGACTGCCATTTGATATAAATAAATATTTCCTTTTTAAAAGACCATATTTCGCTCACAAATCAGGTCAAAATTTAAGATTCCCTTTCACTCTCCTTTATAACTTTATTCATAAGCTCTTCAGTTCTAAGATAGTCATACAGTTAAGGTTGTGCCACGAAACCCAATACGCACTTCAAGTTCACCTCTCCTATAAACAAATCAGTAAACTTCAGGCTAATCTTAGCATATCGTTCATGAAACAGTGAGAAATCTCACCTTGCTTTTTTAATAAAGGTAGCCTTGATCAGAATTAACGCTTAGAGTCATAACGATCATATTTTAATGACCCATTATGTTTTTGACGCGTTGTAGTGTCAAAAAATGAACTGGTTAGAGATATGTTCAGTATCCTTCATCTCCCCATTTGCACTAGTTATTGCCCCAGAGCGATCTCCTTTTACTGCAAGACTTTAAAAATAGCCATTTATTTATTTTAATCAATGAAAAAAGTGGTTATCAACCAAGACTTTGGTGAATCTAGGATTGGAATTCTTGAAAAAACAATCGATATGGCGCTTCCTACTCTATATAATCTTAATTTCCTTCTGAATAAAGTTTAAATACATTAAAAGCTGAATTTATTGTAGTTCGATCGCTTGCAAACAAGATTCGGATATGGCACAGCTCTTTCATACAGAATCTTAAAATAATAAGCAACTGCCAACTCCTAATAATCACGAATGTACGAGACACATGACTACTGGGTGAAAGCGTTCTTATTTGGCTTGCAATTAAATTAGCTCCTTGCAAATAATTCCCGTCTATGCAAGTTATAAAAACTCTCTAGGGCACCATCAAAGGGAAATGCGATTTGAAGGTGAGGCCTCTACTTCCAAACACCTCTAGGCAATCTGTAGATAATAATGATTGGAGAAAAGTCTAATTTCCCCAATAGACTTAGTTTTTATTAGTCATTACCCATAGAAATGACTAATATCAGAGTTATTAATTGGAATTTCTGTGAAAAATATTTTAATGTAGAAGTATCGAAATTATTTCCCGTGAATAACGCTGCTTAAAGTGCATTTAATTTTAAATTTGAATTGAAAATGAATGGTAGAATTATTTGAGGATAAATTCAAAGATAATTATTGATTACTCACATTTCATTAAGTTCAAATATGGATGCTCATTCTTTTGAGATTGCCGCGTTAGTTGCAGAATTGCTTGCCACCATAAATAATTAATATTAAAGTAAAATCATTGGCGATTGTAGACAATGTTATATCATTTAAACAACGATAATTGAACATTTCATTCGGAAAGCTTGATCAACGGCTCAGATTAATCACATATACAACAAGATCTGAATGTAACATGCACAAGCTTGCTCATGGACTTAAGAGCCAAATTCTGACATTTAAACTTGAACGAAAGCAGGGTGTGGTTCATTAGCCTGCACCCGATAAGCGGGGAAATAGTATAAACGACCCTATTGATGCTTAGACTAGTTCTCTTATGCCTTCCTTCCCTCCTAATTAAATAATTCTACTACTCCTCATTCGTATTCAATTTCCTATTAGTAAAATTGACGCTTCCAGATCTTTACCATGAGTAGTTGGAAGAAGTTACCTTTAACGACAATTGAAACGTGATGAATTGCCTGTCCCATGGAGGATGCTGCCACACAGGAAATATTTCTGGTTTCATTCAAATTGGTCAGTAGCAAGCGAGCAGTCCCAGGTGGTTGTCTGTCCATCATATTGCGGAAAAGTTGTGTATCACGCTCGAACCAAGCTACTGTTGGCACAGGCACCCCAACAGCAGTGCAGGCGAGAGTGATTTGACCGCCGGGTGAAACCACTTGCTGGGTCGCCGGAACGGAGGTGAAGTGTGGTCGAAAACGTTCAGCTAAATGTGTTGAGAATAGCATGAACATGTCAATATATATATGCTAATTTAAAGCTCAATCTGTGCATTTCAATGCATCCGAAACATCGAAGCTAGTATGTTATGCAAAAAGTTTCAATGGTACGCATTTGAAATTTGTGCACTAACAGACATGACAATTATTTAACTTACTCTCGATTTGATCGTACTTTTTGGCTGAGCTCAAATTTAAACACCCTTTTATCCTATCTTCTAGTCAATTTTAATAATGGTTATTTAAATATGACTTGTCGTGTCAGCTGAAACAATTGACAGAAACTTATTTCATTCATGATAAATTTTTTTGGGTACAAAAGTATGCTAATTATGAATTAACAGCAACCAGAGAGCAGGCTATCGTGCATAGAATAGATGACAAGATGTCATATCTATAGCCAAACCAGAGTTTCGTGCACTAATTTTTCATACATGATAACAAATAAACCGGCAAAAAAGGAATAGCAATCTGCAAAATTCCGCGATCATTTAAAGCGAGCAAGCCAAATCAGAGTTCAGACCTACTTTTGAGAGCAATAAGCTGCAAGGCTTCCTCTATATCCTCTGTAAAATAGAAGGCATTAGTGCATTTAAGCAAAGTATATAACCAATTACCTTAATTATTACGTTAGATACCACGCTTTCCGTAGGAGCTCAAAAGGAAGAAACATTCGAGCCATAGAATTATACTACTGACTTACGCAAATGAGAAAATGCGTAATTAATTTAATCATTAATGATTTGAAGTAGATTTTTAATTAATATTTTTAAGAGATAAATCTTGGGGCATTTGCTCACTTAATAGAAACTAAATAGGAATTTCTTAAAAAAAACTGAATTTTAATTAGCAAATAGAGTATGCTTAAGGGTAGTGAAGCACTTACCTCGAACCATGAGGCTTTCCCCTGGAGAAATGCGAGTTCCATGAGAATTTGTCGCTGTGCATTCATATTTACCTTCATCATCCTCAATTAACTTTGAGATTTTGAGACTGCCAGCAGCTTTAACGAAAAAAAGGGAGGGAAAGTTGAATGCATCTTAGTCACAAACTGTCTCAGTTTTTTTACTCCAAGAGTCAAGCGTACCGCCTTTTGTTTTACTATGACTAATTGACTTTAAAATTTGACTAAGTCGAAATCAGACGTGCTGACTCTACATTTAGAGGTTAAATCGAAACTCGGCTTCGGGGTTTTGCAAACGTTGTCTTGTGTTGAATTTTGTTGTAAACAAGGGAAGTAAAATCAACAAGTTTAAAATTATAGACCAATTTAAGGAAGGATTGAAGAAAGTATTCTTTTCTTCAAAAAAAGGATATTTACGACAATGATTACGATATCCAGAGAAGTTCTTGTTTTGATGAGTTTTCTTTTCTGTCAAGGCAAATAATATATGAAATCCGGAAATCTAGTCGACACTTATATAGAGTAAATTTGAAAATGCTTCAAGTTCACCATTAATATCTGCAAATTTTATTTTAATTTCAAGATATAAACATTAATAAGTTGAATTCTTCAAGGTCTTTTGCCTTCACATACCTTTTACTCTTTTCTCTAACCAATCGAAAATTCTCTTTTCAAATACAGAAGAGTACAGAATTCGCCGTTTAGGCATTTGATCGCATAGGACAAAATGGGCGGAAATTTCCTTTTGTATACTGAAATAACAATCGAGTCTCTATCTCACTTTAAGTAGGCATGCGTATTAGCCGCGATATTTCAAAGTTCCCTGTTTCTATAAGTAAATGGATTTTGAGTATTTTTTGGGTGTGTGTGATCGCAAACACAAAGAACATTCGGAGCCATTTTAGAGAATTCCACCTCTTCCCTCTCCCCCCGCTCTCCCCCCGCTCACCCCCCTCTCCACATTCTGCTTAATGTCATGAGTATTTCATGAAGAGATTGTATGCAATCGACTTGCTTTGTTGAAAATGCAAAGTATCTGATTCTGCTGCTTAATGTATCTACTTTCTTGTTAAGTGCTATTACAAAGTAAAGTGGGGTACGCAGAAAACAATAATTCGGAATGGAAACCGGGTGAAACCTTGTTTTAATAAATGAAAATGTTTCGCACGAAACCCGAATATTATCCGCAATAGCTTCTACTTAACGAGAGAACGAAAGATTATCTACATTTTACGATTCGTTTTATGGGACCAATTGACTGTCCAAGAAAGCACTTTAAGACAATTTGCAAATTAATTTATTATTCAGCATTTATTCAAGTTAAATCAGCTTTATTTAAGATATAATCAACATGTTTGATAATTTACTTTATCAATACTTGCTTTTAAATGCTAATCAAACTATTTTTTAGTTAATTATATTAATTGATGTATAAGATATATTAAAAGCAAATAATTGCTCTAACTGCACTCTCCGACTTAGGGCCTTAACTTAAGGATTAAACAAATGTAATTAATAAACTAATTAAACTTGGCACAATTTTAATCGAAACTAGTTATTTTTTTCAATCTTACTTCTTGTTGTCACTAAGTTGGAACGAAATATGAATTCGGAGATAACGTGAAGATAAAGCCACGATGTCTCATAACCTTGTGAATCATGGGTAGAAAGAAAAAGGCTTAACTTTTTTCTTTCAAATTGAGCGTTTAATTTATTCTTAATGTCAGGATTTACGAAGGGGTGTTAAGCGTAAATATTGGGGTCTTAAACGTGAATTTACATTCATTTTGTTGAAACATTTAAACTGAAATGTAACCGGGATAAATAAAATCTTTGAGATCAGATATATTCGGACCCCTAGAAGGGCTTAAATAGTTTCGCATACTATGTACTAGTTTACTCAGATATTATGTTTTCCAAACATTGAGCACACAAACTCACTGAGGAACTTACTAGATAAATGAGGTAATTTTTAAATTTTAGCACCTTATCATAAAGCTTTGAACTAATTTTTTGCAACAAAGTTAGGAATAAATGAAAAATAGATTTCTTTAGATTTTCTTGACTTTATTTCCCATTTCTAGTCAACTCTTTTCCTTCATCTCTTGCTTATGATTATTAAATATGGAAAATTCGTTTGAAATTGTTAAATCATTTTAAAAATTAAGCAAGAGAAAGCACATTTTTGCTTAGTTCACAGACCGTGTTTTCAGAGCTGCTATTAACCCAGAAATAAATTTTAAAAATTTAAAAATCCCATTTCTTGATCAAATAGCAAATTGCTTCGTCCATATTAAAGATTGAGGAGTTTCTTTTAATTCCACAATAAAACAATTGCATGTGCCTTCTTGTTTTTAGCGTGTATCACGGTAGTTTAGGAAAAATAAAAGTACTAAATGAGCATGTAGAATGAATCGTCAGGCGTACTCGTGTAATCGAGTCGTGCTTAGCCTATTACCTTTCTGTCCTTATTTTTAGATATGGAAAAGTACCTGTCTGGTAAGATGTAAGATGTATTGCCGAAGGTGGAATTAAAGGGGAGCATGATTGGCTTTCATTGACCTAAATGGGAGGAAAATATGCCCATTTAACTCCAATCATACAGGTCTTCAGTTAAGAGTTGAACGGGCACCCAAATGACACAAGCCGTCAGTGGAGCGGAAGCATTTGATAAATAGAACGAATCATAGAGCTCACGTTAAGGAACTGGTAACATTCTATTTATGCAATTAAATTCGTTAGATCATTAGTAAAAAGAAGGATTTCAATAACCGAAACAATGTCCTAGATCATATGTTATTTTTTGATATCGGCATCCTCGTTTTGACATACTGATAGCCGATATTGCGTCCGTAGGCTTCGTCTTCACTGCCCAGGGAACTAATGAATATTCTCTGTCTTTGCAATTAGGATAAGCAGGACTGTTAATTTTGTGATCTGATTGTCTCGTGTCTTGTTTTCGAACTTATCTTTGTCTTGCCTTAGTTAAATCCCCCTAAGTAGGTCTCGAAACAAAGTGTTCTTTTCTTTCAAGAGTTTTACCAAGAAAATCACTTGGTTGCCAAAGAGCATTTAATAATGCCTACAATTTTATAAAGTCCTAGACTTCTCATTACTTAGTAATAATAATGCAATAGCGTCTCATCAACTCAATTCCTAGCAATAGGCTCAAATCAATCATAAAGCAGCATCAGACTGCGGCTATAACTGAAGCCCTCTTTTAGTAAACCTTCCTGATAGAGTTTCGTTTCGGTCTAACTCAGACTATGCATCCCATTTAACCCGATTCTCACGGTTTTTGACCAGAACAAACCCGACTGTCACTGAAGCATTAAAGAACCAAAACACAATGGCAAAGGCATCCTTCGCTTTTCTGTATATTCACCGAACCGAATGAATTCTTGCAAACTAAAAAAGCGAAAATGCTATGGTTCAAGTGGTTTTCTTTATTTAATCACCAATAAAACAAAGATAGATTTACTAACAGAAAGTTTAGCAGAAGTATATTTGGCAGAGATTAAAATCTGGAAAACGGAAAGACTTTTCTTAAAAACTCTTTTTTGTATCGATATGTACAAGTAGTGCAACTAATCAATAAAATATTAATTAAAAACCGGGATTTTCCGAAAATCCGGTTAAACAGCGCGTGCGTATTGAGCATTTAAAGTGACTCATCCCGTAAGGAGGAGTCAAGCTCCAGTCCCAAATTGATTAAGGCTATGAGAGTTCATTTAAACTTTTAATCCCAGATAACTCCCCGTCAGAATAAGGATTTTCGGAAAACTTCAGCATATAGGCCACTGGGCCTTCCCCTTCCAGTGCTCTGAATCACTTTAGTACCGATCTATGAGGGCTTTGGCTAATCGTTCAATTCCCTAACCAGAATAGTATGAAAAGTGCGTTTTAACCAATCAAATTCAAAGGTTAAGTTTTTTCCGCGGGTATACAGTTCAGTAACACAGCAGACCAAAAATTGGCTGAGAGCAGCTCAGCTAGCTCCGCCAAGTGAAATAAACTAGACCGATTTCAGTTCATTGTTTATGCTTACAAAACTTTTACTGAATTGAAGGTGGAATTGACATGACCCCCCCCCCAATTCTTTGAACTCGTACACCCACATCCTTTTAACATTAAACAAATTTGAGCTGGTGTATGAAGGTGACAAGAAAACCCGAATCTCTGCTCTCAAAAATCAACGTAGATTTTCCTATTTCATTTCCTTTCTGAATTTGCTAACTGCGTTATTTAAAGCTATGAACGTTTATTTATAATTGGTACTTTAAGCAAGAAAAAGCGGACTTAATCAAAACCAAATAATTAATATTGCTATTAATTAATACAAAAAAATCCATGTTAAATATTTTACTTTGAGTTTGTTTAAATGTTTAGCATGGTTGTATTTACCAAAATTTAGAAATATTGTAAGTCTTCAATTAATCGAATATTCATTAAATTATGAGATTGTAATTAAAACAGAATAATTCAATCCCATTTTACATCTCAGTCTTATTTCAATTCAGAATGAGAACTAAAAGAACACTCTATTTTTTTCACACCAGACTGTAAATTCGCATTGTCTGGAGCTCTGTAATATGGTGATGTGTAATTGGAAGGGAGAGGAGACAGTGAAAAAGGAGCAAAGAAAATGGATGTGAATAAATTTAGCAGACTCTCTATTAACCTCTCTCTCTCTCACCGTTCACTTCTCACGAATATCAGCAAACAGCTGAGAACGGTACGTATATCTGAGTTGAATAACCACCTCCTACGCAACGCACAAGTATCTTCCCTCTGCTGAAATCCAGTCTTCCTGTTGGAGGTGAATCATGCATATTTTTTGCTCATTAAATTTAAAGTACACTTCTTCCACATTTAGGTTTCCGGGGTTGATTGGAATGCGCCATCCCGCAAAGATTTCCAGATGCTAAAAGCTTCAACAACTTAATCAAGATATTAGTAAATCATGAAATTGGGTTACCAGTTGTTCGATATTAAAGGAGAAGATGTAACGATATAAATTTAAATACTTCCAGATGTTTTTTATGGGAATGAAGTTTCTTTATTACATAGGTTATTAAATATAATCTTTTCTTGTGTTTCCATAAAATCTTATTACTGGTCAAATTATTGATAACCGTAACTTGCAAACATCTCTCTTGTAGGTGCACATTGTTAACTATAACAAATATTAGAAGGTAGAATATTCAGAGCTAGGGAGTTGATTCTAACTTGGAATCAGAGCATGGAGATTAGGTGAGAGGGATAGCTTTGATGAATGCAAATATAAACGAAAAAATAAATTTGAGATTTCTTTTACAACCAAGCTTATGAAAGTCATGCATCTGAGCTATTCCGTTAACAACAAGTTTGTCATTTTTAAAGTTAGTAAAATTGAAAAGAAGTGAATATGAGCCAAAATGCTGATGTTTCAAACCATTTAAAATGCGCTGAGATCTCTTTATGGAAAGTAATGCCAGCACATCTTGAGTGAGTGGAACGAGACGCTCGTATGGAATCCTCGGAATCTGCTACCACTTTTAATGAACGCGTTAATCAGTGAGATTTACAATGAACTATAATGATTGCATACAATTGGAAATGGTTTTATGATCACTAACTTGTCAGAATTGAATTTGACAGCTTCACTCCCTGAGTGTGACTTCCGCAAAACACAAATCCTTCTTTTCATACCTTTCCAAGTCACATTTGAGCTGTCTCTTCAAAAACAGCGGACTTTGAAAGCCATTTTGTAAACGATAAAAAGCCTCAGTTTAAATTCAAGAGGTAAATGGAGCAAAATATTTAAACAAGTTCAGAGCAAAAATTCATCGACATTTCCGTTGCCATTATTATCTTCCACATGATTTTGACGTCCCGAAAATAAATCTTCATAAATTTTCTAAGATATAAAAGATTGATATCGTCACTATTTCATAATATAGCGCCCATAACTAACTAGTCATCTAATTTAATAATAATATCTAATTTTTGCTCAATTCCGAAAACAGGATTACTTCTGAGGCAAAATTCCTGTTTAAACTAAATTCACTTTTGAGGTACTTAACTTTTCGTTTGACGTTAAAAGAGATTCAGAAGCTCTCGGTCAACTTAAAACAAAATAAGTGGACAAAGAAAAGTTTTAGTACTCCCAAAAGACAGAGATGACAAAGATACAAATGAAAATTTTATTTAGATTAATTGAAATTAATCGTCCAGACAATGATGGCAACGGTGCTAGTTTTTTTATGAGCTTAGTCACGAAATGCTTTATTATAAGAAGGAAAAGTCTGTCGAACGGGTAGCTTTATTCAATGAGCCCGACATATTAAATCTCTGGTGTAAAATCAACATGTTGATTGTGCAAATGAAACAGTCTTTCGAAGCATTAATTACAATCGATTCAGAAACCAGTCATTAATCAGATAGTTATAATTGCGATCGCCAATTTAGCAAGTAAAATGGACACAGCCTAAAGTCTGGGAGAACGTCGAGATATTCGGCTTAGGACATTCTTGATTTAATCTTGCTCAGAACTTTAATATGGCAGCATTTTAAGTTACGTTTAGCTTGTTGATACAGTTAACCACTCGCGATAAGGTCTGATTCAAAATACCGGAGGGGAGGTGGGGGACATTAAAGTCTAATGTAAAATATTGACGGTTTTATCATTATCTTCTTCTGCTAAATTGTAAGTCTGTAAGCTTTCTTTAAGTGAACCAATGTTTCAAAAAAACTTCACCAGCACAGTTTATTCAACTCTCCATCAACTTTGCTCAATGTCAGGCCAAAAAATCTTAAAAGCTTTAAATTATGGGCTTTTGATCTTGTCTGTCTACCCGAGATATTAGCCACGTTTATTAAATAATTTTAGCGGTTCCATTTTGCATCTAAAACCTCAAAGCCCTCCAATCGGCACTAATGTATAAATCACTTTAAATTTAGAGAGTTTTATAATTTTTAGTAATTATATATACATATATTACTCATAGTTTAAATAAACCTCTTCAGTAGATATAGTTACATGTTTTTCAAAACAGTTTCTTATGTTGTGAATTAATGCTGCAACTGTTTGTGCCCAGAACCCACTAACTTGTATTTTGATATAAATAAGGCTGTTTTCAAAATAAACCACCAACAATTTTAACCAATATAACTTACCCGTGACCAAAAATCTAACATTGGTTAGGTCGATGGGTACGCTGTCTTTGTACCATCTGACAAGGGGAGTAGGGTCACCTTGTGTTCGGCATTCCAGTTCCACATTGTCGTTCTTTTTGGCAACAATTACGGAGAAAACATTGAGAAATCGAGGGAAGCCCGGGGGAGCCGCTAAAATTGTAAACAGTATTGTTACCACCCCCCAGAAAGAAGCTTTGTTTCCAAGTTAGCTCACATCAGGTATTAGTTATGCAATGAACAAGTTTCACCAATGAATCTTTTAAACTCGTACGCTTAGAAAAAAGTGCAGGAGCAGCTAGTTTGCAAAGAAATAACAAAAATATAATTAAATTTAACCCATAATTTGTGTAATGTATTACAGGTTCACAAGATGCTTTAATCTTCGAATTCATTGTCTCCATGCCTTTGCCAATTGGTACCCAAGTCGTACCTTCGATAAGACATCGACTCACCATTTCCTTTGTGCTAAATGGAATTTTCACTAAAAATTTTAAGAGGATTCTTTGCAATGAAAAAATACTATACATTGAATCCTCTTTCAATATTAAGAAGCCCAATAATTCCTTCTAATGTTGCAATATTTTGAAGTAAGCACTTGAAATCCTTGAAGAAGTACATGTTTAATTACATTTTAATTTAATCATTCTACATAAATCTTGTAGCAGCTATTCACTTTGGAAAATATCCATCAAATTTTTGGTATATCTCCGCTATTTTAATGGTCTGATCCCCAATGTTCTCCTGAAAAGTGCTGATGATCTATGACCTCTTATCTTACATGACCTTTTATGAGTATTTTTTGACGCCCTTCAATGCAGGTACTACTTTCCTTGTGTCCTTTCCGTGGAAAAGTTGGGTGTTAAGAGTTACATAAATCAGTTGAATATGGCCCAGATCTGCTGTACTTTACACAGTTTTGTGGAAATTTTATGAACATATTATGATTCAAGGACTTTGGTCAATACATATAGATAATAGTTGTTCCGATATGCCTGTAGACAAATTTCAGAAATAATGTCATTACTGCAAGCATCACACGTGCCTTAGACATTCAAACACGAAATCCACGTTGGATACTTGAGAATGTTTCAGCTATATGCAAATATAACCATTCACTAACCATCTATGGCAAGTATTTTCCCATCATGTCAAGAAGAGGAAATAACTCAGTACTTGGTTGAATCAGCTCCCACTTCTTTGCTCTTGTAAATATCAATTAGTTCAATGTCTCCCCAAATTAGAGGTTTCGGATATTCGGTCCTTTAGTAGTTTCTAGTGCATATATTCTTCAACAAATGATTAATCTAAATAGTTAATTGCAAAAGGACAAACAATAAACCTTGGTTAAAACAGAAAAATGGGTAGTAAGAAAAGTTTTTCCCTTTCATTAAATTTATAAAAATACACAATTCAATCATTCCTTATTGAACTATGCGTAGAATGAGGATTCAGATTCGAGTCAATAATTTTGAAATAAATTGAGATTATTCCACTAAGTTGGTTCACTGGAAATAACTCAAAGCGATAAATATGACAGAATGAAAAGAACTGAGTGAAATCGTTACTCGATTCCGTTGATATGCTCTTAGATTTGCTATCAGGGTGTTGAGATCTGCCTAAAATCCTATTAAAGTCCAAATGCCTAACTATCTATCTTGTTTTGACTTCAAATGAAGTTTCAGTGCTTTTAAAGGCGTTTTTAGGTTTCATCATTTTTGCCTATCATACTATGGCAATATCCAGTGAAATTATTAATTATGTACGATTTGCAGTCGTTTTATTTGCTAGTATAACAGCAGTATAAAGGAAGTATTTTAAGTCCCTAATTTTATTAACAGCAGATCTTTTAATTGCATTATTGTTCTGACGGAGAATTGAAAGAGTATTGGAGTTCAACAATCAGAAGAAGAGCTCCAAACTACTTTGAAAAGTCCAAATAGTCGACGAACCTAGCTCTACACCCCCCCCCCCAATTGGATTTTGGAAGGAAAACCCTGCGTTACATGCTCAGATCGATAAAATCAATGGGAGTTAGAGATTGTTCTTTAATGAAATTCCGAACTGCTTAAGTGTCATATAAACTCTTTCATAATGTCCAATTTTTACACAGAAAACCGAATTTATATTTTAGGTTTTTAGTGCAACTTTGCTATCAACCTGAAAATAAGCAATACAGAGTTGATCCAGCCAAGTCTGAAAACATGGTGAGTTATATATGCAGCGGCTTTTTTTAAGATCGAAAAATGAGATACGGACCATCATGAACCATAATAAATGTGCATATTCTTCAGATGGTTACCATTAACAACTACAAACAAACTATCTTTAAATGTGTGCAAAATGTGAAGAACTTCCATCGATGGAATATAAAAGCTGGAACTTCATTCAGAATAAGCAAAATGCTTCACGAATTTGTGGGGCTCTAAAGAACACATACATGACTCCTAACTCTGTAGTGCACTAACTGTGAGATTGTGATTTGTAACGTTTGACCTTGATTTGGTATATTTAATTAAACATTTTTTCTATTCGCTCGGCTCAGACGCCCGCTCGCTTACCACCACATTGTCAACCCTTCTTCACATTCACCCCTCTTTATTTCACTTCTTTGTCTTTTACAATAATAAGTATAAGAATTCGTATGAGAATATTTCAGAACCAATCGCGTATAAAATACAGCAAACAGTTGTCTACCTTTAAGGAACCCCAAAACTTGAAGGGAGGCTATCATCATGGCAATCATCGGAACACTAAGATGTAATATTAGCCATTCTTCAATATTTTTTGCAATTCGGCTTGTACTAACTGTGCCTCATATACACACTTCAACACTGTTTCATTTTTTTCTTTTAGTTCAGAAATAAGTTTTCTTATTCTGTACTGCATGGTGCACTGATCAAATTCAAACTACTTTGAACATAGTCTTAAAAAGCTTTTTGGACGTCATCACGTTAACACCAGAAGTATGCTCTTTAACAAAGCAAGTTATAAGCATTATTGATTATTTGCACCACAAGTAATTGTTTCTGAGTTGAAGTGAAAACAACAATCACTTCAAACGAGACATTTTTATTTGCTCCCGGTCTATACGACTAATCCTAATCATTTAGTCACCATTAGAAATCTGTGCTTATACTGTTACATCCAAATGCCGAACACTGTAAGGAAAACGTTTTCTAAAGCCTACTGTATTATGGAAGTGGATGCGTGAATTTTTCAAGAATGAAATGAAAATTGTATCACTCTCATTACTGGAGAGGTTTAATCAGTACCAATATCCATTCTGCTTACTGGGTGTTCACGGATGGGCGTCAAATCCGTAAACTCGGATTTCACAGCCAACCACTATGAATACCGCGCAACCGATGTCCTAAATATTGAATAAGGCCTCAAACAAACAAAGCCGAACATTATTTTATTCCTTCCCATCTTTTACTTCCTCAGTGGTCTTATTTTCATCTTTTGATAAAATAGCGTCAGGTTTCAAATGTCTTGGTTAATATAATCAAAGTTATCATGCATACCTTCTTCATTCTGATAGACGAAGAGCCTTGCAGTAGCTTCAGCGTGTCCGAGGGCATTCTCAGCTGTACAAACAACCAGAGTTCCATGAAGTGGCGGCAGAGCGTTCGAGATTCGAAGAACTGAACCTCTTGTGATTGTTAAAACTTCTCCAAGTTGGGGCGATGAAGCAACGGGAAGACCGGAAACCTAAAAAGTGTCAAAAGGACAAACGTGCTGTAAAAATACAATAAATAATCCCGAAATAATCCAACACTGATTTTGAATTAAATCATCACCAGGAGGGGGAGGGGGGTAGACGATGTAATTTATGTCTTGTTTATGGTAAAATAGCAGTCTCCTTAGTTGGATAACATTAAAATAACAGCAAATGGGCACCTTTAATTACTAACAAAGAATTTACAAAACACGGGAGGATATAAGTGTTAAATTGAAAAGAAGAAATAGGACCAGATTATCAGCACAATAACTAACCGAGTTCTTGCCTTTATTGAGTATTCAATACGGACTTTAGGTGGTAACGTGGGGTTTGAAAATCATTGCTCACTTTGCTTCCAAAATGAAATGAATTAGTTTATTACTTGCTGAAGAATCTGCTAAAGTTAGTTAGAGAGACAGTCGTAAATGATTTATTTGATTACATTAATTTCGGGAAAACTGCCAGGTCTTCATTTGGACATTTGTGACAGGCGCGTAAAGAATCGTGATGCTGAATTAGAATAAAATCAGTCAACGCAGGTTAAAATGTGCTTTTTGAAACTGCAAGCTGATCTATTTAGAAAACGCAGAAATTTACACTAAAATTTTTTTCTTAAGTGCAGATGGGACCACCACAGTAGCGGTACAGAAAATTCATGGTGCTTGAAATGCAGATCACTGTGAAGAACTCCATCCCCACAATTTTTGGATAACATTCTAAGGATTGGCTCATTAAAAATTTCGAAAAACGCATCTCTTCGTATAAAAATCTAGTGAAGATGCACTTGCTCAGATTAACACAAAGACCACCAAGAATTTTCCAACAATGCTCAAACGAGATAAGAAGTTATAAGTGAATGCGTGAACTAAAACATCATTAATTTAATCTTTAATCGTATAACTATTTGAGTTATTTTATGGAGAACCATTTCCTACCCAACCTTTATATTAGAAAATGCCATTATGTAGAAGGCTGAAGTGGAGTGTGGTGGTTTTACTTAAGTCGGTGTTATAACGTGGGAGAAGTAAATGAGGATTTTTCTCTTTTGAAGTAATTACTAGATTGGGAAGAGATTAATTGAAGAAGTGCACGAAATTGTCATAAAATTAGATAAACTGAGCATAGCCTGAGTTGTGAAGAATACCGTTGTATTTTAGCCAAGGGTCCTACGTATTAGCCACAAAATGATGGAACGCAAATAGCACTATTTCAAAGTTAATTAATGACATCCCCAGCTTCGCCTAGCATGAACCAATTAGGAGTAAGTTGACGCTCAAAATATTGACCAAGCGGGAAGCGTTGATTGATTGGTACTAACCAAGTGATTATTTAAATATAACGGCGGAACTCGCTAGATTATAACACTTTCGAGCTTCACAAGCCACATCACTATATAAATCGCCATAAATCATTGCAAGGAAAACAGCCATTACCAAAACGCAGAGCAAAAAGCGGCCAGCTTTGCGAGTTTTACCGCGATAGAGACTTAAAGGAGGGCTTTTTCCCTCTCTAGCTACGGCTTCCGATATTTTGCAGTCTTTCTTCTTTACTGATAGCTGATAAGAACGTTTGCTGAGTAGCTGTTTGCACTGGGGGGGGGGGGGGGGGGGTATGGGGGCGGGNNNGGGGGCGGGAGGGAGCAAAGTATACGGCTAACAATAAGCCCACTTCCTCTCCGTGATAAATCATTTTGTAATTGCCAGTTTTGGACAAAATATGGCTATATAATAAGTTAAGTTGCTCAAGTGAAACTTCGGGAGATTTTTAGTTGATTGAAGTTAACTTATAACTACTCGAAAGTATTTCGTTACGAAAGAGGGAGTTATTAATTTCCTTTGAAATATTGAGAGGTTGACGAGTAGGAACGTGTGCAATACCCACTGGCGAATCATAGCTATTAACACAAGAGGGAAGGCAAAATTGGGTTTCGTTCATCTAAAATTTTCAATATTTTTTCGGTTTTGTTTACTAGCCTCCTCCTCCTGCCAACCTCAATGAACTTGAGACCGATAAACCCCAATTTTTTTAATCACATTTTTGTGAAAGCTGGCAAAACGGATCATGGTCAAGGCACATCATTGGCTACGATTTTCTTTATCCACATATCCAGCAGTGTGCATCCAGCTAATGCGTACATTTAGTTGACCTCATAACCAACACAAGATAACATTATTATACTAATGAAGTTTGACCTGAGGGCAAATAATCATATACGGCAAGGGAAGCCATTTTATCGGAAGAACATTGTCCCACTTCCTTTGTGAAGCCGTGGCTTAGCGGTTTCATTAAAGAGTTTTGTGTAACTCGGTGCACAGCCAGTTACCAGAGTGGATAAGCTCCTTGGCTAATTGTGAATAATAATAATAATATGAGTGGAAGTATTTGCATTTCTCGTCAGAGAGTTTGCATACTAATTCCTCACTACCCAATTTGAACATTGAGAGACTCTTTGCGAAAAGAGAGTGGCCGGGGGGGGGGGTTACTTTGCTAAATACACGGAAGTTGAATATCAGAAGAACGACATAGTCCTATTCTCAAATGAAAATTGTTACGTCTCTTTCGATTGGTCGAATACTTAAGGGGTATTAATTTACACAAATTTCATGCAATGCGTTACATGCCGCCTTCTTAACTATCAAACCACTTCATATTGCCTACTGAGTTTCTTTTATTTAATTTTATTTGAAAAGTTGAAAAATATCCGCCATCATTACTAACCGGCGATTAGTCTGTTATTTTTGTACAATTCAAATGATACATTGAAAAACCTGTACTATCAGTATTATGAAAAAAATAATAATTGTAACAAATATCTGCACAGCTAAAGTTTCAGTATTAAAAAAGAGCAGTGAAATTACTAATTTAAGCAACTAGATCAAAACCTTGTGACTATCATTGTAACCACCCAGTGCTCGGAATATGAATTTCTGCCACAGAATATGTTGATAACTCAAGACAAGTCTTTTTCTATTCTAAGTGAATATTCATATCTTGGAGAATACCTAACATCCGATGTATTCCACTATTATCTTGAGGAAATTTTGCTATAAAATCATGTTATTCTTTCCGTCCAAACAACCGTCAGAACTTCCTTAAATTGCGCTGCCTTCAGTAAATTTACAGCCTAAAGAGTATCTGTATCACATCTTATGGCTATATGATATATCAATATGGCTTGATTAAATTTTCAATCAGCTAAGCAATGTGCCCTAAGCAAAGGGGAACTAGATGCCAGACAATGACGTTTGAATCCTTGTGCGGTAAACAGTGCATATGGAATAACGGGTATACAGTGTCCTCGAGGACCTTGAAATGGAGATAAGCAAGGCTCTTATAATATCCTTGCAATTATTATTTCACTCCTTCAACCCTTGTTTTGCTCAGCATGTTGCTCATTTCTAGACGCTTTATCGTGATCGAAAGTAGAGTATTTTCTTAAGTTAATTGCGAAATATAAATAAATAAGGGATTTTTGACACTCATATACAGTTCTATTTTCCATAATTGAGGTGAATAAAAATCGTAAACACATTTATTTCCCAAAACTATTTCTGAACACTTTCTTACGCTCTCGAGTTAGTTACTCATCTGATGTCTCACGGCATGAGACTCAATGTCATCACTTTCACCTCTAATTTCTATCATTGGCGGGAAGCCATCATTTAAACTGCTTTGGCCAATTTTGTAAACACTACATAAATGAGATAAATGCGAGCATTTTGGACATTAAATCTTGTTCACGAAACGTACAACTTCATCAACTATCAATACGACTATAAGTAAACACAGAAATAATTTCGAAGCCCCATGTAACTAAGCTAACACATATTGCCAGGGGAGAGAGCGACTTGCTCAACGGTTTTAGTTTCATTAGGTTTTGAAAAACTTTAATACACAGCTGTTACAGCTGTGTAGTAACATCTAGACTTACAGTCCATTGTACTCTTGGCGATGGGTTACCCTCCACCATGCAGACGAAGATCACGGGCTGTCCGGAGATGACGGACTCCGATTTGAGTTGTTGGACTATCCGAGGCTTTTCTGTAAATTTTGGGATTAGAGAAAACACGAAATTGTTAATATCTGCGTTAAGTGGGCTTACAGTTTATGGTAGGGGGTTGGCTGGAGAGTTTTATGACATTATTACGCAGTTACAACGAATTACCGACAATTGGTACAACACTTGTTTGAAAGATTGTTAAAATATGCTTTATCCGCTTGTAGGCGTGCTCCGAATTTTACCTTGGATGGAAAGAAAAGCAACTCGCTTTCTTTGGGTCATCAAATCTGAATCATCATTGCCATAACGGAAGTCAGATGATTTTTGGTGTCAAGAATTGTAATTTATTTTGAAAATAAAAGTGAAGCAGTATTTCATTGCGATCAATTTCTCAGTGGAAGTCCAAGCATTTTCAATAAATCTCAGATTACTAATTTATTTCAAAGATACACACACTTTTAAGTTTTGGAAGTGGAGGGGAATCACTTAAATAATGTGATTGCAATAAATGTTCACTCCGCTATAATTCCGAATCACACTCATAAAGTCCTTCTACATGGACACAAATTAGTGTAAATGACGTTTAAAGTACACGAATTAAATTATGTCTTTGATAACACCGCTTAATTCTGCTCATTTCGGTAATGTCTCTAAGCGGGAAAATATTATGTGTAAGCTATATACTATTAGATCAAGGAAGGGGGATTGACGAAAGTTAATTTAATTTTCATACTTCGGAAATTTAGACGTCATGGTGTTTGTTCGCATTAGCGGCCTAATGATACCAGTGTCGGATTCTTCTGGTCAAATTTCAATTGTGCCTTTGAGGTTGGAGTTGGTTGAGAAAGTGTCAACGCCAAAAATTATGCGGTTAACGAAATGAGTCATAAGATAACCCATGAAATATTAGGATCACCTTCAAGCTCTTCATTTCACCATTTTTTCAATTAATAGTGCTACAAAAGCTTATTTTAACTTTAATTATTGCAAATAAACTTCCGAAAAGCCTACACATTTCTCTTTTTACTTGATTTACATTTCAAAGCTACGTGACTAGGTACAATGACGATAATTTTCCATGAATAATAATGTGCAGAAATTCGTCTTTTACGTCAAATAATTTTATATATTAATGGAACGTTTAAATGATCTTCCTTAAAAAGCATTTCTGAATCTGAAATGAAGTAGGTAAAGAAATTACTTAAAATAAAGTTTCCTAAATTTTTTATCCCCTTTTAAATGATTGACTCGAATTTTGGTGCTAAGTTGTCAAATCATCAACCGGTCAGCTTGACGCGATCATGTTGAAAGGATGTGCAGAACTTACGTGGTACGTAGTACATGGGCTCAGATGCTTCAGAGCCTTTAGCTCCAGCCCTGGTCTGAAACATCACCTTATTCGGTCGCCAGTCATCTTGATCTTTCAGTACTTTAAAAGTCATATCCAAATTGGCATTTCATTTCGATTTTGCGGTATGTTGAAATTGTATAATCAACAGATAGACACAGATAGATAGAAAGCGACCGAAATGTAGGTGGGAGAAAGAAAGGAACAAAGATATTGAGAATTTTTTACAAAGGTGAAGACATTGTAGAAGAAAGTGCTACCGAGCAAGATATTACTTATAAATGCAACCCATCATGCATTTAAGATTTCATGCAAAGTGACGTCACATTCAATAACGGTGGCATGCATATCTGATTTGGAGGGTGAGGGGTGGGGGCGGATTAACTGTATTTTTTTACACTTCTTTATTTTAACATTAGATTAACCTCAAAGGAAGTAAGATATGGTCCGTTTTAACCCGCAAATATATAAATACTACCGGAAATTAATGAAGTAGATAGCGTGAAATCATTAATCATTTTGAAATCACTTTGTGAGATAAAGATATGGGTGAGGTAAGTTGAAGCGAAAAAAGAACTCACAAAAGCACGTTATAAAATTCTGCGCGCCCAGATCACCTTACACACGCTTAATAGGGCAAACAATGTTTTCTCCCATATCGAACTGCATATATTTGAGCTATTGACAATAAAATTTATTGATTAATGTTTATTTAATTCCTTAAACCGGTAACTGAAAATCTAATTGAGTCTTGTTTTGACTTTTGGAGTATTATAACTCAATATTCAATGAAAGACCAGCACAATTTCACTAATTCAATAATATTTTTTCTTGCATACTATTTCGATTGTGACACTTTTTTAAAAGATAAAAATTACTAAGTTTCGAGTATTTTATTGTAGTAAATAACTCAAATTAATTTTAAAATTGCACCATTGGGAAGAATGAATAATTTTTACCAAAGTATGAATAAAATAATACAACAGAGAAAATATTTATATATATCGGTGAACATAATTGTATCGAAGTATCTATAAAATGCAAATATGTGTATGGTCATACCTTTACTAAGAAGAAGATCAGATAATTCATCCAGATCTTGGAGTGAAAAACCCTGTGCCGAGCATAACTTAATTACCGATATGAAGATTAAAACGCAACAAAGAATGAAGTGACGCAAGTCGGGAAGTTGATCTGAGCTAGTCATAGGGTTGGTTTCAATTTTTCAGTTGTGTATAATCCCATGGATGAAAATTCTGCTTTCAAATACTTCTCTTCTACTGATAGGCTGTATGATTAATTCTAGAGTCCGAATGCGTTATTAAGTGGTAAGTGGATGTCTTGGTGTTTTATTAAGTCGGAGAGCCAATGAGAATTGAGTACTACTCAAGCTGGCCAATAGGACTTTCGGGCAAAAGTATGCTCTGCTATATCAGATAAAGAGATTAAGATGAATTTATGGATTATTAGATACATGATATTTTTTAAAAATATTAGTTTTCCGTATTAAATTTTGCCTTAGAAGAATTTAGAGTATTCATAATATTTTAGCCAGATAAATGGAATATAAAAGATTTACTTGCTACCAAACAAAAAACATAAAATGAAATAGTAATTAGAGCAAATATTTTCGCATCTGCATTAAATGCAGAATTAAATTTTAGGAAATCAAAATTGGTGCATATTTTTGAAAAAAATTTTAGTCCTCAGTAGAAGGATGTGGTTCCTTTCTCTACAGAGTGGTGGCAAAATCTGAAAATCTATCATTTTACTACTCTTATATCACGTAAATTCTGCAGAGAAGATCAATGTATAGTGACTGGATTACTCAAGTGATCAGACGAGTCATTGGTAGAACAAATATGTGCTCATATTTGTTAGTTAATTTTCAAACTATAGTAATAATAAGATTTTGTCCGTTTTCATAAATAAGGGGTAATGTACACATCAATTCAGTTGGCCAATGGAGGAGTTTCAAACGCAATGAACTATCTATTCCTGTTGAAAATGTCGAAATTGCAAATTAAAGTCTAGGTTCTGTCTGAAAAAAGGTAACAGATGAAAGCCTTATAGATCGGAATGCCAATCATTTCAGTGATAGTAATGAAGATATGACTGTTTCCCATATAGAGGTTCATAAGGAGGCGATGAAGGAGGGGTTAATCTGATGATTTCTGTTCAGTGGAGCAGTGATTTCTCCTTTTCATATTGACCTATTTAGTTAATGCCTATTTATAAGTCTTGCGACACTTGTGCGAAATTCTAATGATTGTATAAGTGAAAGATATTATGATAAGCTACAAACTTTAGAATGATTTTAACGTATATAAGAGATAGTTTGCCATGAAAATGAATTTCAACTAAAGATTATGAAAAAAATAAGTTGCAAATATTATTTAATCAAGTTAAAATAACGTTAATACAAGTAATATTTAAGCAAAATTTAAGGACCTCAAGAAATGCTATTTAGTGAAGTGTTGGAGAAAAAAAAACAAAATGAATAAAAAATAAATTTATGGAGTCATTGGGATTTTAATGAGATTTGAGTAAAATTTTTTTAGAATTACTTCATAATCGAAATGTTCATGGTCTGAACACTTGGACTGTTTAATAGCCCCATGAACCAAGCATTGTGTTTTCAACTAATTTTGGACGCATTAGTTTGGTCAATTCATTTGTTTAATTTTCACTACCAATAATAAGTCGCTCTACTCAAATAAAATAAGTAACAAATTATTTTACGTCCAGTATATCTCTCCCCATTTTTAATGAGAGAAATTGAAAGTGCGCGCATCACAGAATCGTTATCATCTACCGTGCTTCTATCACTGCGACACACTCACACATTATGCATGCAGGGTATGAAAAGGGGGGTGGGCGATTGGTCCCTCCTTCCTTAGTCTCTCCTACGCGCACACACCACTCTTTCTCCTACACATCTCTTAATGAATATTTAATGCTGATTTCACATAGCAACGGTGACTGTTTAGGAGCATACCATAGGTAAGTTTTTCAGTATGCACTAATACTGAATTTCCTTCCATAAATTCGCTCTTTGAAAATAACTATCAAGTACATATGAGAAAAGTATCCATTAAAAAGAGGTCTGCGTAATTGAGGCAGGATATTCCCATAAAGTGAAAGCTTTACATTAAATAAATTTAAATTCGCTTATTATCTTCTAAATCAACCGGTTATAATGAAAGAATGGGTTGGTAGGAAGATTCATCAGAATGAAATTGGTGGTAGCTATCTGGTCATAAATAACTCCTTCCACAACAGAGTGGAGTGATTCAGCTGCGATTTCCTAGTCGTTTATTTGTTCCCACAACTTTGTTACTGAATACGTAATCATCTGCCATGAAGCGTATATATGTTTACTAGCCAGATTATCTCTAGACATATTTTCTCATCACACCAGGAATTGCGCAATGTCGGAATTACAGGGATGGTCGTTTTAGATTAGTAGAAAGTGACAACGTTCCCTTAGTCAACCTACGGTCATCAATTAAAAAGAACAGTATAAAGGTTATCATATTTTTAATAGTTCCTTAGTCAAATTAGTCGACATATTGGTCTTAAATTTCACTGATATATGCTGAGAATACTACATTGAGTTAAAGGTTCTGAAATTATGCTCCATCTCCAGTGCTCTATTCCACAACTGAAAATGAGTTTCCACTTGCATCTAATTAAGAGAAAAAGGATTATTACAATACGCAAAAGCACTTTAAACTGATTTACGTTTTTGGAACTTTAAGTGAACAACAGCAAATCTGTGTTAACTTATAATGCAAATTTGCTCCTAATTAAACTTCAAACATTTTAAAAATTGAGAGAATACGTAATCTACTTCCTCAAACCTGAAAAAATTTTTATGTTTGTGAGTAGATTTGAAATACGAGAGGAAGTTTAATCCTCTTATCTAAATAAAACAATTTTCTGTAATATATATATATATATATATATGCATGTGTATATGTATGTATATATATATATATATATATATATGCATGTACGTATGTATTCTAAAATAAAGAGATTTTCAGCTTAACGGGGAAAAGAAAATTTACGGTAATTAAGCAATCTGTCATTTTTGAAAGCCATCATGAACATCCTTATAGCTAATGGACATGAGGAAGTAAGTATATTGAAACAGCAGATTAATTAATAAATTTAACTTTACTAATTGGCTTCGCACTGCCAAATTAAAGCTTCAAACATTAAAAATTTGATAAATGTAATCGGTAGACTGTTAGAAAATGCTATGGCTTTAAATGAAATAGATTTTCATAAATATTTTTAAAAAGCGATTTATAACACTTTCTAATGAGATCATTTTGGAAAGTTTTAATCTAATCAATTATTCATCCACCACATTGATTAACGCCTCTGCACAACCCTCAAGGTCATGTAAGGTTTTGAATTTTTTGATACTTCATTCGTGCAAACAAAACCTATTTTCATTTTGTTTTTATGCCGGATGAAGTCTAACCTTTTTAGACTCATAAGTAGTCATATATTCCTTAATAAGTTGTGCACACATGATTGAGCAAAATGTTTAATTTTTGTCTACATAATATTTTGCTACGATGCACAACTTCTCTATTATTTGAAAATATAAATAATCATCCCTATAAACATGTCGAATTGTTACTTCAATTTCTTTATGGATAAAAAAATTTCATTTTACCAAATTATGTGAAAATTGGTCCACAATAAGTTCCCCTGAGACTTAATTGTTTAATTTGTGAAAGTTAAACAAAATATTAAAGTATTCATGAATTATCACCAAATTTTCTAATTTCAAGTTTTGCTTAATTATATTAATAAGGCTAACGAAACAAATTAATATTATTCAACTGAATCAATCAGACAATAATCATGAAAGAAATGTATGGATGAAAGGCACAGGTCGACATAATTTTGAAGATAAATACAAATTTTCGTTCAAGTGCATTGAAGACTACTATTTTAGTCAAAACAGAGTGGCATTACTAGAATTTTTGAGCGTTTTATTAAATTTAGAGCAAAATTTTAGTCTATGTTAAAGTTGTTCTAACAACTCAGGAGTTAATTTTGAGTGAATCGTTG